GTTTATTTTTAAAGGCTCAGATCAGACTTAATTGCTTCTAAAAAGCTTTGTGACTTCCACCGGCTGGATTAAGTGTTCATTTACCGTTCTCCCGTTGCATCACCAATTAACACATATTTAAAATAGTATATTATAAATATCAGTTGTGGCCCTCTTCCTCAGTAGGCTGAGAGCTCATAAGGAGCTGGGACAATTTTTTTTTTTTAATTCCTTATCTCTCGGCACCTAACATAGTGCTTGGTACCCAGTAGGTGTTCAGATTTGTTGTTGTTGAATGATTCCATGACATGATCCTGGTATCTGAAAGTGACAGGGTGAGATACTCAAGAGAATAATACCAGGACACCCTCAATGCTAAATTGTGGGGAACGGTTTATAGTACACACTTCAGCTGGGAGGAGGGGTCAGGGAGTGCTCCAGGCATTGAACAGGGAATGGAAAATATGTGACTTGGCTGGGATTTAAAGAATGAATGTAGAGGAAAAGTGAGGTAACTAGTCTTTCAAGAAGAGACTTGAAGCTAGCAGTAGAGCCAGCAGCAGCAGCAAGAGTTGGCAGCCACCTGGTCCCCAGAGGAGTCCAGAGTGGCACTAGCAATACGCATCTGCCACAGCTTAAATGCACAGTGCTCAGCTGGCCCATGCCAGCCTGCTCTCGAGGGTTCCCCAGGCCTCTGCCTTAATAGGAGGCTAGCCTACTAGAAACCAGGCAGTTTGGGGTGAGGGGAGGGTGCATTCTTTCTGGGGCATGAGCTGCTTTGCCCCCTTTTTTCTGACCTCGGCTGGACGCATTGCCCTGGCACCTGCTCACCTGCCTTTTACTATTACTGTTGTTGGCAGGTTAATGACCTAGTGACTTCTTTGCCTGTCACCTTAGACTTGGGGACAGTGAAAATCTACCAGAGTGGCATGTCTACTGCCGTGGAAACGGATTTTGGGCTCTTAGTGACATTTGACGGCCAGCACTACGCCTCCATTTCCATCCCAGGCTCCTATATAAACTCCACGTGTGGACTTTGTGGGAACTACAATAAAAACCCGCTGGATGATTTCCTCCGCCCGGACGGCAGGCCAGCCATGTCTGTCCTGGATCTAGGAGAGAGCTGGCGGGTCTACCATGCTGAGTGGAAGTGTGACTCAGGCTGTGTGGACAACTGCACCCAATGTGATGCTGCCACTGAGGCCCTCTACTTTGGTTCTGACTACTGTGGCTTCCTCAATAAGACGGACGGCCCCCTGTGGGAGTGNATACTATCTGTAGTTGAAAAAGAAAACTTCATGCTTTATTCCTACTTCCCATTTTGATTAAAATTCTCTTTCGCTCTCAGTCAGATTTTTTTTTAGAAGGAAAAGGGCACCAGATTTCCTTTCAGTCCCTGCAGCTCTGCTTATTTTGTGTGGCTCTTTTCTATCGTCCAAGTGTAGGACATGGATTCCTCAATTTTCTGTAGCAACAGAGAGATGTGGATATGAATGTAAATGTTTCAGAAAGAAAAGGTTATGTGACTCCAACTGCAAGCGAACAATGGATTCCTTTTCCTTTTGCCAAATGGCTTCCAAGTGTCTCTGAATACACCTGCTCTGCTGGGGATGGGGGCTGGCTCAGAGGATGGCACAGCTCCCACCCAGGGTGAACTGGGGACAGACAGGGAGAGGGATGGAAAGCAAGAAGGAGCCCAATACGCCTGCAAGGCAACTGACTTTTCCAGACACGCTGGGCCAGGTCAGGAATGGCCACTAAGATCTGCTCTTGCAAACTAGAGATTGCCTTTCTCCACATGCTGGGGTTAGAAACTGGCTTCTATATGTGGATTTTCCCCCTTTGCACTGCTCTCAGGTAACAAAATAAACAGTATGGGATTATATATGCTAATGGGACCAAAGAAAGCCAGCTAAAACCCATATATAGTAAACATCTCCTTCTAGCTAATACTTATCAGTTTTCCTATTTCTCCCCCAGATAAACTTTAGCAGTTTAGGGTGCTCCACTGAAAAGAGTGCCAAGGCCAATTAGTGTATGGTGATGAAAAGCTCTGACTCTGGGGACAGAGCTGCTCAATCCCTGTGCCACCACTGCCAGCTGAGCAGCCAGCCTTTTTGAGCTTTATTTTTTCCATCTGTAAAATGGGGTGATAGTGTTAAGAAAGCAGGACTCAGGGGCTGTAGTTTGGACTCGGCTACCTCTACTTAACACTGGGATAAAGGCAGCAGGGAGCAGTAGAGACAGCATAGTTTGGAGCCCAGCTAGCGAAAGTCAAGCCCTGTCACCTACAAGTCATGCAAGCCCTGAACCGTAATTTCCTCATCTGCAAAAGGGGGAAATGATAAGGACCTTCTAAAGTTATTGTAAGGAT